AGAGATGGATTTGTATTAAACGGGCCAATATCATTTTGGCTTATAAAGGTATGTGAGGCCAGTCCCTTAGAAGGATGATGATGATGATGATCCAAAACAGCATGAAAATCCCTACATTTGGGTTAAATTAGGCTAACCACCCATGAATATTCCTTGCAAATGCACGTCGCGAATAAACAAAATTATTTGCAAAGCGGAACTCTTATTATTTGCTTTAGTATGTGAAACCTCCCCATTATGATTTCCAAATTAAGTAAGTGGACCCCATCTTGAAATACTACACATGAGATAGACTTGCCATTTCATATATAAGCACATGCTCTCCTGCAGAAATAATGGTCTGCAAATAGAGAGACCACCAATGAAACAATTAGAACAATTGACTGTGGAACAACTGACCTCCAGAAATTGTGAATGCTCCAACATTGGAAGTTTTTAAGAAGAGATTGGACAACCATTTGTCTGAAATGGAATAGGGTTTCCTATCTGAGCAGGGGGTTGGACTAGAAGACCTCCAAGGTCCCTTCCAACTCTGTCATTATTGAGATATTGCCAGATGCTGCTCCTTTCTCACGAGTTCTCTATTGCACTAAGTTATGGCTTCATTAACCTCAGTAAGGTCCCTTCCAACTCTGTTATTCTATTCTAAAAAAGATTCAAATATGAGAAGGTAAGATTTGGTAGATTTCCTTTTAAGAAGAAATGGCTTTAAACTTTTTATGATTTTAACTTTGTTCTATTTGTTCAATTTGTTCAGCTAAAATGTCCATTTCTTTGTCGTTTTTACATCTAATTCAATGTTTTATTTAACAGAAGCATAGCCTTAACAGAAGTATCTGATATACTCTTATTTTTACACTAGCACATTGTTTTATCAAACAAGAAAAACCAGAATAACCAAAATACTAAAACTTTCAGGGACTTAGATTCATTTGTCATTGTCTATCTTTGGGAATACATGTATATCTGAATACATTGGAATATGTTATAACTTTTCCCACATGAAAAAAAATCAAACTTACGTTTGGATTGCCAGCAGTTTCAACTGAGCCAGGATGGATAGCAATACTCATAATCCCATTGGCCGGATACTCAAGAGACTGGCACTTGGTAAGCATGTTCAAAGCAGCCTGCGGGGTTGAAAAAAGAACTATGAGATAAGAAAGCACTGAAGAGAAAAGGGAAGGAAAACTTGAAGATAAAGTGCGCACAACAAGATATTGTACATTAACTGTTAAGTGGAGCTGGAAATGCATATGAATCACACCTTAACTGAACTAAAAACATTTGAAGATACAAAAGCGAAGAAATGTGCATTTTAATTATTCTGCATCTCATGCAATGTGTCAGAGTCTTTTTAATAATCTGTCTGACCTGTCAAAGCAATAGCCCATCAAATAGTTTTCTTGGCTTTTTTTTTTTTCAAATAAGAAGTATTTGCATCTCCCCAAGGCAACAATTCCCATTGGTTTCATTCTTCTTTCCTGGTGACATTTTCACTTTTACGCATCAATAAAGATTTTTGTACCTCCAAAATGCACAAAGGCCACCCATTCGAGTTATGTTTTTTTTTTCTTCTTCTTAATTTTCTTCTCCTTAATTAAAAAGCAAGTTCAGAGAGCACCTCCTTTTCAACCCTAAGCTGCAAACATTCTCCTTTATTGGTAAAGCATCGTTGCTGACCCAGAGCTGGGACACCAAACAGGATTGTATCTCAGTAATTGGTTAGAAACGCATCCTAAGGGGACACACAAGCATGGACGGATGCACTTATGGATGAAAAGGGAGCTCCCACTATTGCAGGCAGGTCCACATAAAAGGTAGGTACCTTAGCGCAGCGGTATCCGATTATTTTATTTTGGTCCCAATAAGCCACAAGTTCAATTGAGCCTCCATTGCTGGATATGTTAATAATGGCTGCCTTGCTGCTGCTCAGCCCTTGACATGGGCTTCTCCGGGCTGCCTTCTTCAGCAGGGGTAGGAATGCCTTGTAGAGAGAAGAAAAGAGAAGGAGCTGCAGTCATTTCTAGGAAAAGGAGCTGTACAATGGCAGGGAAAGGTCTTCTGTCTGCTTCTCCAAGGGGACCTTCAGAGATTTCTCAAGACCTTCATAGACTTATCCCAGTGGTGGGATTCAAATTTTTTTAGTACCAGTTCTGTGGGTGTGGCTTGGTAGGCGTGGCTTGGTGAGTGCGGCAAGGGAAGGATGCTGTAAAATGTCAATTTCCTCTCCATTCCTGGGGGAAGGTTACTGCAAAATCCCATTCCCTCACTAACCTGCTTTCCAGCTCCATACACCTGTGCAGGGCAGCCAAAGAAGACCCAGCCAATCAGCTGGGACTCGGGAGGCAGAGAATAGATGGGGGCAGGGCCAGTCAGAGGTGGTATTTGCCGGTTCTCCAAACTACTCAAAATGTCCACAACTGGTTCTCCAGAACTGATCAGAACCTGCTGAATACCACCTCTGACTTACCCAGGAGTGGGATTCAAATTTTTTAACAACCGGTTCTGTGAGCCTGGCTTAGGTGGTGGGCGTGGCTTGGTGGTCATGTGACCGGGTGGAAGTGGCTTGGTGGTCATGTTATTGGCTTGGTGGGGCCAACTCAATATCACTCACATCGAGGCACGCATCTCCTCGCCTGGCCTCTCATGACTGTGGGGATGCTGCAACAGTCGTAAGTGTGAAAAATGGTCATAAGTCACTTTTTTCAGTGCCATTGTAACTTTGAATGGTCCCTCCACTCAAGCAAAGTACCAGCAAAGGAGGGGGAAAAAAACCCCAGAGACGTTCCTGAGACAGGAAGTCTAGTCCTGCCAAGAATGTAATAAGGGTTAACGGAGAGGCAGTTTCTGTAAGCAACACCAGAATGTTTCCTTCCTGCCTTTCTTACAGGATTAGGCCAGTAATTTCTTCTAACAACCAGTTCTCCGAACTGCTTAGAATGTTAACAACCGGTTCTAGCGTATAGGTGCGAACTGGTAGAATCCCACCCCTGGACTTACCCCTATCTGAGCACACCCAGGAAAACTGCTACATTTCAACACTCCCTAAAAGGGAGCATCTACCCTTAATATGTCAACCTGCTCCCAAATCAATGTACAATTTCTACTTTGTTGTATTGAGCATTACAGCATTCCCGTGCCCCCCAGCTATACCGAATTCAATGGCTCAATCTTTTTTTCTTTAATTAAAACAGTCTTCTTTGCACTGAAAGGGGTTTCATTCATAAACAAACCTGACTCATTTGCAGGGTTCCAATCACGTTGACAGAGTAAACTCGCATCATATCCTTGGCATTTTCTGTTTGCAGATCATTGAAGGCCCAAGTGCCAGCATTGTTGATTAGGATGGTCAGGCCACCTTCTCCAACACATTTCTGCACTTCTTTCAAAGCGGCCTGGATGCTTTCAAGTTTAGTAACATCTAAGGAAAATCAATGTGATTGGCAACATCAGCACCACCGAGTTTCAAGAATGGCAAGGCGAGAGCTTCCTGAAATCACAGGTCTTGGTTTCTCTTCATGCAACTAACTACCTTCTGGAATAGCAGCCCAAGAGCTTCATGCCTAGAAGTTCAGAACCTGGGGGTATCAGAAGTTAAGCAGTAAAGCAAGAACTTTTATGATTACATAAATTAACCTAGTCACTCTGCTTTGAACTGACTCCCACATAAGGCTAAATTCAGTTTAACTCAGATGGTTTATAGCAGGGGTGGGTATCTACCAGTTCTGTCCACCTCTGTAGAACTGGTAGCTCTGAAGAGCAGCAGACATAGAACTGGTTCTATGTCTGCTGATGTTGTTGCCCACCCGCCTACCTGGGCTCTTACCTGATCTTTATTTCCTGATTTTTCAACTTCAGCTGCCGAACGAGGCACAGCTGCAGTTCAAAAAGCAGGAAAAGAGGGCTGTTTCAAAGGCTGCTTCTCTGCAAGCAGCCTGCTGATGACGATTTACAGGCGTGCGGCTCCCAGCGTGCAGGGAAGCTCGTAAATCCCGAACCGGTAGTTAACCCTGTCGTATCCCGCCCCTGGTCTATAGGTATTACATCCAAATCATGACTGCATAACCCAAACTCATTACGAAAATTCACAACTCACACCGTTTCCACAACATTCGTACCCCAGATCAACAATTCAGTAAATTGCATTGAGAGAGGCGGCTACAGAAATTGAATAAACGATTAAAATACAAAAATAAACATGAGGTCCTTCCTGAGCTTTTTGAACTCATATAAAAGTGGCCTGCTAAAACAATCTGGGGCAATCTATCTGAGATTCTGTCATTTTATTGACTCTCAGAACAGTTGGGAGTTCAGCTCTGGGAGTTGGAAGTCCACATGTCTTAAAGCAGCTAATTTTGACAAGCACTGCTATGTACAATCTCCTTCTCTTCTCCAAACATAGAGATGCAGATGTTACCTTATGTCAGATGCCCATGCATGAAGCTTTATTTGACTGCCCACCTCTTGGAAGGGAAAACAGTTTGTCTATTTTTAACTAGGAGGGTCACACAACAATCTACCCCAACTCAAAGAAACCACACTGAACCCAACCACAAACATCACCACCACCATCAAATAAGTTTATCGATGAGTCATCTGAACATATCAGCAGTATATATGTGATGTCCAACACCAACACTACAGAGTCAACAAATGGAATATTCTGGAACCACAGATACTTACCACAATACCCCATTGTTCAAAATGTTCTCTGGAGAAAGCTGTTCTTCAGAGAGTTAAACTCATTTTCTCTCCGGGGAGCTGACTTTCATGAACCCAACCAATGATATTTACAGTTCTGGTTAGTTCCAAGAATAACTTTGAATAGGTTACTCTGGACGTTCTGATAATAGCATGTTTGCTCCGTTTTCACACAGCTCTCGAAACTTACCTAATTGCAACACCACCAGATTTGGATATTTGCAAACCAACTCTTTTAGTTCCTGGAGAGAGAGAAAAAAGAGATCGTAATTTTACAGTGAGTTAAAATTCACAGCCAAGGATGTGAGCCGAATGTCAGAGAAGACAATCTCAAAAGCCAGAGGATGTAGGAGAAGGTACCCAGTTCCTGCTTCATTAGATGTGCAACATCTCTGACTGGACAGGGTTTGAAAACCCACAGTAAGGCTTAATGCAACAGGGGATCATACCCATTCAACTTAATCCCACCGGATATTGCTTCCCAAAAACCTTCTGCACTCTACTGCTGGTTCAAAGCTTTTTAAATGTAAGTCCTTACTATAAGATTGCAGTCTGTCTGTCAACTACCATTGTTGAAGACTAAGAGAGCTAATTATTGTAGGAAGCCATTTTGTTACTTTGACCTGGTGTAAATCTTGGTGAATGGCTCAGCACCGGAGTCCCTTCCTCTTTTGAGACAGAGGGCACCTTTGGAATCGTACAAATGTTGCTAATGTTGATCTGCCAAGTTAGGACCAAAAAAACCCCAACCCTTTTAGTGGCAAACAAATTGCTCTACTCACATTTTGTTTTGTATGAATACAAAGAATGAAACAGAGTATATATGGGGTGGAAGTAAAGGAGCAAAGATTTAAAAAATTACAGAGAGATGCCATGAATTTTAGATTTAATTAAATCTTCTTTTCACTGCCTGACCTCTTGCACTATGCCTTAATTTATTTATTTATTAGAATATGTCAAACAAAAATGAGAACAAGAATAAAAAAATAAAAATACAATGACAGGGATGATAGGCACGTTAGTGCACTACTAACCTCCTACTCCACTTCCTACTTTTCTCTGTTTATTCTATTCCTCTGCTTTGAAAAACATTGCTTTTCTTTAAAAAAAGTTTTTGCTTAAATATAAGAAAAGGGATTACACAGTCAAAAAGGGGTTAATACATAATAGGTAAAGTCAATAGAATTTAAGGAAAATGGACAAAGAAATGGGGAACACTATATTATTTAAATAGAATGAACTGAATCTGCATTTTACTTAGCGCTGCTTTGTGCAAAAGGAAAAGATAAAATTGGTGTGTATAGGCATGTGGGTCCAATATTCCTGGGGTGCTCAAAATGCAAGCTTGATGTTCAGCCTCCGTTCAACTTCTGAATCGCTATTCCCAAGCCATCCTCTGCTAAACTGATTCTTACTTGGTTCTCTTCTCCTTCCAGATCAAGAGTTGTAGCAAAGACCCATTCGGGTGGATAACGCAGCTCCAGAAACCTCTTCACCAGACCCAGACCGATCCCTCGATTGGATCCTGTCACCAGGACACTGAAAACGCAGAAGTCCATTGGTTTTGCCATCTCTCCGGGAGCTGCAGCTTCTGCTTCCAGCCTGCTTGAAGATTTGCTTCAAACGCTTCTTCTCATTACGGGAACAAACATTATAAGAAACAGGCAACACCCACCTTTAGATCTTCTGAAGAACTTCATTTATTTATTATCAAATTTGTTTGCTGCTAACTCCCAGTGACTCTGGCTAGTTCACCACAATGAACTTATTAAAGAAAAAACAACAACAACCCTCTAAATGAAAAACAAAACCAAGCTTTTCATGACATTCAATGATTTATTGGGGCTCTATTGTTGCTCGCGCTATGATGTGTTGATGACATTAAGGTGAGACAGATGAATCATCACAAAAGCCGACGACTCAACCAATCTCAAACCTTCACTCCTTTACCCATAAACTATCCACTATTGACCTAACCCCCTTCCTAAGAGGTCTGTAAGGGGCGTGTAATAAGTGCACCATCCTGCCTACGGTCCCTGTCCTATTGTCCCCATTTATTCATACCTCTTTCCTGTATTTCTTACTCATGTTTATTCTTATACCTATTGTCTTGTAAGTGATTGACAAATCAAATAAATAAATAAAATAAATCTAGAAAGGTCCCATTGTCCTCTTCACAAAGCTTGGACAGCACAGTCACAATGCATTGGGTGCTCTCTTCCACGGTGATTTCTGGCTGCCACGACAAAAGGCCTCATAAGATTTAAGAGAATCGGTCCTACCCAGCCCAGAACCTTCCCCTAAGCAGATCAGCAGAATTCAGTTGTACGTCTTGACCATAAATGCTCAACTCTAATATAGAGAAGGATTTGCATTAAACAGGCCAATCTCGTTTTGGCTTATAAAGGGATATGAGGCTAGCTCCTGTAATGGGTGATGATGCAAAGCATCACAAAAATCCCCAAATTGGGGTTGAATGAGTTGGGTTAACCACAGATGAGCGTGCCCTACAAGCTCAGGTATTGAGTCAACAAAATTACTTCTAGTATTAGCAAAGCAAAACCCTTGTTGTTTGCTCTGGCATATGCATCTTCCCCTGTTATAATTTCCAAAATAAATGGGTGAACGCTGCTTTGAATCTCCCATGTGAGATGGATTGAGTCCTTGTCATTTCAGACATAAGCATTTGCCTTTCCTGCAGACATAGGGCTCTGCAAATAGGGAGCTGCACCAGTAGTTCAAATTGGAAGAGGAAGCAAGATTTAGTAGAATTCCTTCTAAGAGCAAATGCATTTAAACTTTTTTAGGAGGAGTATTGTTCAGTTTGTTCTGTTAACATTTCTATTCCTTCATCGTCTTTACACCTAATTTGATGTTTTAACTCAAGACTGTAGTGTAACTTTATCAGAAGTATTTGTTATGTCTGCTTTTACAGGAGTGGTACATTATTTTAATGAGTCCCAAACAGTCTCTCGAGATAAGCACCCACCTTTATCTCCTTTGAATTGCTGCCAACAACTAAAGTGCCAAATTAACTGTAAAAAAACCAACTGAAGTACAAAGTCTTCAAGGTTTAATCAGAACAGAGCGAACGACTTTGCTTCCTGCAGAAGTTTCTTCACCTTTGCCTGTCCTTTATCCCTGATGGGAGGGGCAATCAACTCCCAGCCTTTCTCCCGAGCCGCCCCTTTTGTTTCAGCTGCTCTCGCCTTCTAGCAGCTCTGCGCAAACGCGCACCGGGAACAGGCTCCCCTTGTTCCTCTGCCTCGCTGCTGCCAGACTCCAGAGGCTCCAGAGGCAACACCCCACTCCCAGAGGGTCCTGGCCCCATCTCTGCATTGGACGCAGGACCCTCGTCCGAGGCCTCTCCAGACTCCCTGACTGGTCCCTGTTCTTCCCCACTATCCGATTCTGCTGCTGTCTGCTGCTGTCTGCCAGTGAACCACAACAATCATTGCTTACATGGCCTTCCCCACTTCAAGTGCAGGTAAAGATGTGGGGTCATCATTTGCACAATGATGGAGAAATTCTGAGATGCCCCCAATGGAGGAATGAACTGTGTAAATTGCAGACACCACTGACCTAGTTGGACAGAGACACAGCAATAAGTACTGTTATAAAAGACTTTACTGTTCTAAAAAAAATTCTCTATGGTTTACTTGCATCCCCAGCTGTAATATAATGTATAGGACAGTCCTATTCCTGAATTCATCCCTGGAAAAAGGGTGGGTAAGCATGCCTCACCTTGCATGTCATTCTTCATGTTAAAGCCTGTCTGAACCCAGAAGTTGTGGCACACCCACTCTTTCCATAGCCTTATCCACTTCCACTGGGAAGTGCCACCAAGGAATGGGTTACTTTGGAACTTGTCAGCCCTTCAAAGTGGACCAGACAAGAAGAAAAAAAAACATCTGCTATATCTTTTCTGACCTTATCTTTCCCTAGGCAGCATCTTCCCCCCTCCCCTAGAAGGCGTGGCAGCTCATCGCTTACGTGGCCTTTACCACTTCAGGTACAAGTATATAGGTAGATTTGCTAATGAGTTGCACAAAGATGGAGAAATACTGAATCACCCACCATGGAAGAATGGATCACGAAAATGCCAGAACTGGGAGAAATGGTACCACTGACCTATTTGGACACGGACACAGCAATAAGAACTTTTATAACAGTCTGGAAACTTTCTGGATGTTTTGATGGAAATGGGGAGGGGAAAAGTGAAATGATGAGTTCTGAAAAAGGGCTGAATAACAGGCAGAAGGAATTTTGTAATATAGAAGAGGGTGGAAGTACAATTGCGTTTGCTGGAAGCACGATTGGAAGTTGCTTTACCTTTTCTGATTTTTGTTTCTTTAGTTATCTTCTTTTCCTTTTTAAAAAATGTTGCTTGGCTTCTCAACTTCATTTTTCGTGTGTGTGTGTGTGTGTGTGTGTGTTATGTATGTTCATACTTTATGCATCTTTCGAGTCAGTCTTTCCAAACTCCCCAATAATTGGCAATTTTTTTAAAAAAAAACACCTTTCTGAAATAAAGAGAAAGCAAGATGAAGATTTTCATGACATTCAGTGGTTTATTGAAGGTTCGATCGCCACTCGCTCTCTTAAGGGTGAGACCGATGGATCACCAGGGAATTGGGCGACCCAACCAATCCAAAAAGGTCCCGTTGTCCTCTTCACAAAGCTTGGACAGCACAGCTATGATGCCTTGAGTGCTCTCTTCCACACTGATTTCCGGCTACCACAAAACAACAACAGCAACAACAAAAAAAACAGATCTCACGAGGTTTAAAGAAACAGTCTTGTCCTCCCCTAAATAGATCAGCAGAATAAGTTCAACCCTAATAGAGATGGATTTGTATTAAACGGGCCAATATCATTTTGGCTTATAAAGGTATGTGAGGCCAGTCCCTTAGAAGGATGATGATGATGATGATCCAAAACAGCATGAAAATCCCTACATTTGGGTTAAATTAGGCTAACCACCCATGAATATTCCTTGCAAATGCACGTCGCGAATAAACAAAATTATTTGCAAAGCGGAACTCTTATTATTTGCTTTAGTATGTGAAACCTCCCCATTATGATTTCCAAATTAAGTAAGTGGACCCCATCTTGAAATACTACACATGAGATAGACTTGCCATTTCATATATAAGCACATGCTCTCCTGCAGAAATAATGGTCTGCAAATAGAGAGACCACCAATGAAACAATTAGAACAATTGACTGTGGAACAACTGACCTCCAGAAATTGTGAATGCTCCAACATTGGAAGTTTTTAAGAAGAGATTGGACAACCATTTGTCTGAAATGGAATAGGGTTTCCTATCTGAGCAGGGGGTTGGACTAGAAGACCTCCAAGGTCCCTTCCAACTCTGTCATTATTGAGATATTGCCAGATGCTGCTCCTTTCTCACGAGTTCTCTATTGCACTAAGTTATGGCTTCATTAACCTCAGTAAGGTCCCTTCCAACTCTGTTATTCTATTCTAAAAAAGATTCAAATATGAGAAGGTAAGATTTGGTAGATTTCCTTTTAAGAAGAAATGGCTTTAAACTTTTTATGATTTTAACTTTGTTCTATTTGTTCAATTTGTTCAGCTAAAATGTCCATTTCTTTGTCGTTTTTACATCTAATTCAATGTTTTATTTAACAGAAGCATAGCCTTAACAGAAGTATCTGATATACTCTTATTTTTACACTAGCACATTGTTTTATCAAACAAGAAAAACCAGAATAACCAAAATACTAAAACTTTCAGGGACTTAGATTCATTTGTCATTGTCTATCTTTGGGAATACATGTATATCTGAATACATTGGAATATGTTATAACTTTTCCCACATGAAAAAAAATCAAACTTACGTTTGGATTGCCAGCAGTTTCAACTGAGCCAGGATGGATAGCAATACTCATAATCCCATTGGCCGGATACTCAAGAGACTGGCACTTGGTAAGCATGTTCAAAGCAGCCTGCGGGGTTGAAAAAAGAACTATGAGATAAGAAAGCACTGAAGAGAAAAGGGAAGGAAAACTTGAAGATAAAGTGCGCACAACAAGATATTGTACATTAACTGTTAAGTGGAGCTGGAAATGCATATGAATCACACCTTAACTGAACTAAAAACATTTGAAGATACAAAAGCGAAGAAATGTGCATTTTAATTATTCTGCATCTCATGCAATGTGTCAGAGTCTTTTTAATAATCTGTCTGACCTGTCAAAGCAATAGCCCATCAAATAGTTTTCTTGGCTTTTTTTTTTTTCAAATAAGAAGTATTTGCATCTCCCCAAGGCAACAATTCCCATTGGTTTCATTCTTCTTTCCTGGTGACATTTTCACTTTTACGCATCAATAAAGATTTTTGTACCTCCAAAATGCACAAAGGCCACCCATTCGAGTTATGTTTTTTTTTTCTTCTTCTTAATTTTCTTCTCCTTAATTAAAAAGCAAGTTCAGAGAGCACCTCCTTTTCAACCCTAAGCTGCAAACATTCTCCTTTATTGGTAAAGCATCGTTGCTGACCCAGAGCTGGGACACCAAACAGGATTGTATCTCAGTAATTGGTTA